TCTTTTAATATGGTGAGGAACTAGTGATATACTAAATGCTTATGGCAGTTTCTTACAAAATAGTTGGTTCTCTCTTCCAATGTCAAATTTGAGTGGAGGTGGGAATTCTGCCCAGCTAAAAGTAACTTATTGTTAAATAGGCTTATGGGAAATTTCCTCTAGTCACTCTGTGTCTACTTCTCTTGAGAATATGTTTTTCCAAGGAGTCCAAATAATTTGGTGCTCTTTTCCAGAAAAGTTAAGAAGTTTCTCATAGATGGCTAATAAGTTTATGTTAATCTAAGAAAGAAACAACAATGAGAATTAAGACTTTAATTGTTGGAAGTAGAAGTTGATACTTAGATGTTACCTGTGTAGCCAAGTGAGGAGATGAAAACTGAGTGGGATTAGTAATGGTTGATTGAAAGCCAAATCTTTTTAATTACTGCTCCTTGCTTGGGACCTGTTGCTTCTCAGGTCTACCTTGATCTCTGCTATGATTTGTTCAATTTTCTAGTTCCATTCCCCCTTATGAAAGGAGCAAAGAACACTTAGCTCTGTGCTGCTTTCTTGATACAAATTAAGGTCAAAGAAAATGTAAAAGTAAAAAGAAAAGTTCAGAATTTTATTATAAATTATTTTTATTTTATTGTGAGGTATAATTTAATTTTTGTTGTAAATTATCATTGAAATCCTAAAAATAATAGCCCTAAAACCATCCCTTCCTGTCCCCCACCCTCACCCTAGGGCTGCACATACCTTTGCACATAGATCAGGCTCCAGATAACACAGTTCAAACTTTAAAGAAAAAAGGAACATACCCAAGTTTTCTAAGCTGTTAACGTTACATGGAAAAACTCTGGGGGATTTTAGATTAATCACAGCAAAATAATTACTCCCCCTTTACAGCATTTTGCTCATTCTCTCCTTTGCTACTGTAATCATTTTTTATTTGCTCTCATTTATTTGTAGTTTTTTTGGCCTTGGAAGAGAGGTCAGTTGGAGATTTATTTTCCTTACCAAATTTTTGTTGTATATTAGGAATAAAAGCGCCTTGAGAGAGTGTTCAGTAGCTGCCTGGGTTGAAAAATCTGAATTCAATTCCTGCTTTTCCAGCTTGGACTCATCTATCACTGTAGACAAATTATTTTTATTTCTCTGATGGTAGTCATATGACAATACTTGCAAGAAGGAAAATTACTTAGGAATAGAGAAAATAATAGTGTAGAAATGTCATTCCAGTAGCTGGTTTCTCAGTAGTGGAGAGATTATATGAGAGTTGGCTCAGAAAGTTGGTGTGGTCCTGACTGTAGTGAAGACACAGCACTGGGAGGGTGATCTGATCTTTGGGATGTGATGGCAAATGTCTCGTCGGTGCCAGAATTGATGTGGTAGGTTATTAATTCAGTGCTACTGCTTGCCTTTCTGCGTAATAATCATTTTTGTTATGATGTTTGTTAAGAGTTCAATTTTAAATGGTACACATAGAGTGGAGCTACATCTTAATTGGGAATAATGTGAAAATATCTATCAGCCCTGAAAGTCTGTTAAATACCCTTTAATAGAGTCTGTCTTTCAACATTGGAAAATTATTCGTGTGCCATGAGCTTGAACAAATAAAACCCTGTAATGGAGACATCTGGGCATTCCGACCTTTCTGCCTTTAACGTAACTGGTAAATGAGTTACCACAAATCCAGATCAGGATGGACAGAACGTTCTACAGTGTTCCTATTTCCCTACATAAATCATTCCATTTGAAAAATAATACTCGGTCATTATAATGTTACTACAGATTAGATTTGTTTGGGGTAGGAGAATTAAATAAGGTGGGTGGTACAGGTGTAATTTGGAGGGTGGTATGGGGTTAGGTTTGGATTTCAAGTACAGCCTTTAGTGTAATCCCTTTCTACTTGTCTCATACCTCACAATGGTGACAATGACAAGGATAGTGGTAGAAATGGCCTGGTAAGCAAGATTAGTTATTTCCCATGTGATCATCCCACTGCTGTCCACAATGTCAGTCTTCAGCAGAGCCTTTTTGCATTTTTGTCATGGATATGTACAGTGACCGTGTGAAAGCGTTGTACCTCGAAGTTACTAGCCTTCCAAATATGAAGATGTTTCCTTCCTTACCGCTAGAAATAAAAGATGAGTTGATTAAGAAATAAGCTAGCTGTCAACCAATATGTTAATTTATCATTGTGTCTCCTGTGATGGAGTTAAACTGTCAGTCTAGGTGGTGGAGGGGGTTGCTTGTCTTTTCTATTTGTTTTGTTTGTCTTTCTCTGGTTTGGTTTAGTTCTTTGTGTATTATGCACTTTTTGAAGAATTTGGATTATATGACAATTTTTATTTCAATATCATCAAGTTAAATTAACATGGGGCATTCAGCTAGAATTTGAGTCAGGCCTGTAGTTTCTAAAATTCAGACAAATTCAAACTGAAGACCACGGTTTTGGTTGGTTGTTTCTTTCCTAAACACAAAATGATAAAACTATATCTTCATCCCTAGGCCCCCCTGCACACCCTCCTTAATCTTAATTGCTGGTCTGAGTCTTTAAGGTGTCCAAAATTCACATGTGGCTAGATTTTTAAAAATTTATTTATTACTTTGTTCTTATTTTGGCTTCCCAATATGAACATCTGTTCTTTCCCCTCATCCCTTTCCAGATGTCCCCTAGCTGTGCTGACCTCCGCACTGTGTAGTGTTGTCATCTGGTGGATTGTTTGTGACTACATTCTTCCCATCCTGCTATTCTGTCTCGATGGTTTCAGAACACAGTAGCCCTCAGGACCTTTGACAAATAGCTGCTGTGTAAGTGTCCCATTCCATGTCTGTACTATTGCTCACTTCTTGCGTCCAGCATGTTTCCCATGATGCATGTTTTCATTCTTATTAGCTCACCTAGCTTTGTTGGTGTGTCTTTTTCAATGATTCTTTTCCTGAGTCTTTTCAGTGTATCGAATGATGGTGGGGAGGGAAGGATTTTCCAGAACACTATGGTTTTTAAGTTGCATTTACTCTCTCAAATGTCTTGAAATAGTAGTTTGTAAATGAAGACACTAGATCCTACTATTTAGAATTTTTAGTTAATTTGGGTTCGTGTGGGTAGTTTTCTCTCAGTCAATTGGCTGTACAACTTCCCTTTAGTTTCTACACGTTAAGTGTGCCCTCCTCAGTCCAGCCAAAAGGATATCCCATTGGCTTTCTGCTTTTAGTAATGCTTTGATTTTTGTTGCCAGGAGGCCTCATAAGCCTTCATCCTGTGTTTCACCCCTGGATTGGCCATCATGCACAGCTCGCTCTCAGGCAACAGTTTCCTAATAAATCTGTTCTCCGGTGACTAGATTTTTCTCCTCAACCTCATTTCATTTCTTCCCTTCTAGGGTGTACATTAGCATAATTTCAAACACTGATGTTAAATGAAATAGAGAAGACTTGCCCTCCCTTGTTTATTTCCCTAGGACAGTCACTGTATTCCTTACTTCCTCTCTCTCTTTTCCTTTCCCCAAGATAACTAAATGTTTTTACTATGTTAATGTAAGCATAATTTCTGTAGAGATCTTCATTCTTGAAATTAGTATGGTAGCCACAAAGAGACTTCTTTTCTGCGCAAGAATGTGCATAACTGAACACCTGCAGAACATCCTAAATACGACGAGCACAGAAAAGAGGTGTGTCCTGGGGAGACAGGGTTTTCGGTACTCCCTTCTTACTCTAGTCTGATTTGTATTTTTAATTCTCTGAAACGTACTCTCTAGCTCATAGTTCAAGAACTTCTTCGTTTGCCCAATGTGGTCTTGGAAGTTATCAAAGAACACAATACTTTCTTCAGCAGTCTCCTTCAAAGTCAAATTCCCTTGTTTCAAATGTTGTCCTTTTATTGAATGTCTTTAAATGGCTAGAACCTATTTTTAAAATGAAGCAGGCTTTCTTCTTACCATTTAAGAAAAATCTATATACCATGGTCTAATTTACACCATTTTCTTGAATACCTTATTAATAATATAGGATTACTGTACATATGTAGATATGCTATGTTTCTGATAGAGATTATCCTTTAGTTGGTTTTTCTTTTGCTTCTCTAAGTAAGCTCATATTTCTATTTATTTTAACTTGAGAGGGTCATGCATTTCATAGACTTAATTTTCTTCCAATTCTTCCAAGAGGTGAGAAGGAGCGCTGGTGGTACAGGGATTAAGCACTTTGCTGCTAACCAAAA